TTCAATTTCCATCTTAGATCATTCCCTCTCTTCCACCCGGTGACACAAAAAAAGGGGCTAGATAGGTCGACCAAACGTCGTGCAGTGCGCATGTAGAGGACAGTGGTCATCCAAGGAACGATTTTCCACTTCCATCTTCCGGGGTCAGAACTTGGGTCTGCACGACAAAGTGTTTGCACGTCTAATCTGGCCACTGGCCACTCTTCCTTGTTCTCTCTAGTGGAACCTGTGAGAGTTGCTTTGTTGGCAGATCGAATCCCAAAGTCATAGCCCTAAAGATTGATGTCTTTCACAGGTCAATCGCAGACCAAGCAAAACTGACTAGCTCAGTTTCCCTGGATGCATGTTTTCCACCCGTGGATTTTAGTGGGAAACCAATCCCCAAAAAGGTTACAGCTATTTACAGCTTATCCACTCACTGGGCAGGAAATTACTATCTTCATCTGGACTCTGAAACATGGCGCTAAACTTTTATACTTGCGGAACCACAGGAAACTCAGGAAATTCCTCGTAATCAGCAACAAAATTCAGACACCAGAAGTGGTCACCATCCCTATTCACACTGATTCCGGAATTGATGGATATGTGCCTGGATTCAGCTGAGTAGCCTGGATTGTCATCATCAAAAGCATTAATGAACCTGGGTCCCTCCCTGGGTTGGTTCAAGGTATACTATACTTGTTCATACTGCTTCCATCTCAAACGAAAGCTGTTCCATGCTCTTCCATCTCTGCAAAGTGACTCTCGGGGCAAGTCGGCAAAGTTCTTGGTGGCCCATTCATCACAAAAGGAGCTAGACCCAGCCAAAAGGAGCCTGCAAAAGACCCGCAGATCGATCCCTCCAAAAGATTGGTGTGAAAACCCAACCTTTCCATCTGGATTGGAAACGGGGGGACACCCCCAATAATATCCCTCAACAAAAAGCAAGAGGTGGTGACCTGCAGGCCTGCAGGTGATCCATGTACTTCCTGGCTAGGGTCTCCATGCTGTTCAAGTCGGCACTTTGGGGTGGGGGGGGGTCGCCGGATCCAGGCGGCGAGCCGAGGTCTGTTCAGCTTGGATTTGGGTGTCCAACCGGAAGAATCCACCGGAGTCCCCTAAAGGGAGCGAGTTGACCGGTGAAGGGGAGATTCACCGGGAAGGGAAGGGGATTCCCTTGAACGATGTTTCCCCGGAAAATACATATATATATATAATCCGTCCAAATTAGGAGATTTACCGTGAAAATACACATACAATCCGAGCCGCATCGATCCGCACAACTTGGTCATTTGCATACACCCACCCCACCCACCCTTACTGTCGCAGATCACACCTTCGGCTCCCTCTGTGCAGCCAGCGCCACCTTCGAGACGAGACGCGAAAGATGGGGTATGGGCCAAGGAGCAGTGTACCAATCTAAGGCCTGGATAGATATGTTGGGCTGAAATTGACGTAGATACCTACTTGTTACTACCTACGAGTACTGTGATCTCTGAAGTCAAACAGGCTCAAGGCTTCAAGTGCCAATCCCCCAGAAGCAGGCTTCCAAAGCCCGTCAAGGCCCTATGCCCCTGTTTCAGCGTTTGAATCTTGTGAAGTTCACCAGTTGCAAATCATGGAACGCAATGGAACCTGTACAGAGTTTGGAGATGCTTCAGTCTGCCTCAAGTGCAGCAAATTGGTGAGACTGGAGGTTGGACACCGGATGAATTCGTGTTTTGGCTGCCTGTCCCCATCTTTGCATTTAGAGACAACTCTCTGACAGCTACCCAATTGCTTCTACATGGTTCTACGGTCTACCGAAACAAAGGAAGGAGCTGGGACGGCGGATGCTTTCGGTCGATGTGGATGTGAAGTCTAGGTCGATGCTCTGCACCTCACAACCAGGACCAGGGCTATCGGCTCGGTTGCCACATCGGCTGTGGGTCATGTCATTCATGGTCGGAGTACTGGTCTGAGTCATATACTCATCCGTAAGCTGGAATCCTAGCTGTAAGAACTGACCTCCTACAACCACACCTAGTACTACCTAGTCAACGGCCAGGCACTGTTCACACACAGCTGCTGGGATCGACCGGTCAAAACACCGGGAGATAGAAAAAGGGCACGACCTGCGTGACCTGCGTGTCGTTCACTACCGGACGGTGGACCAGACTTCACCGGTATGCACCGTACGACCCATCACCGGTTTTCCTACACCACCTGTCCCATCATCCAAAAAGAAGATAGTCAGACCCTCACAAAACCCTTCACCCCAAAAGCACCAGATCTTTTCGTCTCAATTGGGCTCCTTCTCCGCCTCCTTGCCCACCTCCGGTCTAAAAAGACTACCCTATGATTCAGATCCAAACGCTCATGTCACCCATGTTGGCCGGTGTGTGTGGCCTTTTTCGGCCTTCCCGGGTGCCCCGGACCACGGCGTGCCGCAGCGCCGTGCGCGCGATGGGGCTGCTGGGCACCTCGGTCAGGGTGCGAAGGGCATATCTTATGAAATGTAGGATTTTAACATGTTGATATAATTAATTCATATATATATATAACCAACAGTATATAAATTGACCGTATTGTAACCTGCACAAACGGATTTATAACATACCAACCAGCAAGCTGTCAGAGAAGTTTATAAGTGGTTGTCATAACTTCCTGTACAACGGATTACAACTCTTATACTGTATAATGTGTTCTTTTAAGTGATTTAGCCTGCTTCTTCCCTCTCTGCGAAACTTGCTGCCCTGAAAAAAACCTCCTGTCCAGCTGTCGTGGCACCAAACAACCACTCCATACAACTCCTACGGCCACCACTCTGCTTCGAAAAGCCAGGTGGACCACGAACATGTTGGCAGCAGCATCTGGCGTCGGCCGTCAAACGAAACTCCATTCCGAGGTCTGCGCTTCCTTCATCCCTGTCATGGCCTGCACCAGCCAGGTAGCTGTTGAAGGGCATGGGGCAGGGAGAACTGAGGAACAGGACTGGAGGTTTTTCATCCAATTCAAATCCAACGTCAGCTGGAACAAATGCAAGACATGTAGGAAGCTTCGACAGCTTCCAACACTCTGTCTAGCTTCGGCTGATTGATTTCACATTCGTTCCATTCCCTCCTCGTCCGTCTCGTGAGAGTTGCGGTGGTTGTCTGCCCCTCCTAAAGGCCATCCACCCAGAAGCAAAGAACTTCACAGAGGCAAAACCTCCTGCATCCTCTGCAACCTCTTAAGCTAACATCAACCCTCATCCACCCCTCGGTCTTGCTTCGTCCGTTTCTCCTCTCCAACCGAGTCCAGTGCATCGAGAAGGGCACCGATCGAGGGTGGAGAACATCGATGGAAGCGACCTACACAAAGCCTAGAGTACCGATCTTGAGGGTTGATCCATAAGCCTCCGAATGCCTTGGCCCAAGATCTCCAATGCCTATATAGCTTTTCCGAACAGAAACACTAAAAAAGAAAAGCCCAGACTCTCCATGTGACTGGCACAGTTACACCTATTCACCTACGTCATGTTGGTGTGGTCAAAATGGAGTTAAATATTCCCAAACAGGGTCTAATTGATTTTAGCTGTTGATCGATAAGACCGATACACAAATATAACCCCACCCAGAGATATTCCCAAACATCTCCCATACTATAAGACCTTCGGTGAATAAGAAAACCACGTACCCAGGACCTGAGCCGTTCGTGACCTCTTTGGAGACTCTGAAAGGGTGACCTCAGCCACCAGCCTGGAGGGGTGACCGCCACTGGCATCTCAGGTCACGAACGGCTCAGGTCCTGGTAGGTCCTGACCTCCTTTGTTTCAGATCGATAGCGATGGCCTATCCATGGCCTCTCCGAGATCGATTGACCGGATCGACTGCTATCCGAGACAGTCCGCCTCCGGATCAACTCACAATTACTTATAATAGATATGAATACCCAAGCTCTCCAGGTAATAGAAGATTTGTCCTACATTGACCCCTGAAATCAACCACCCCAATGTATGTAAGTATGCCAGTCCCATTAGTCGTGCCTGGGATAGATACTTTCTTTCCTGCTGCAAACGTCTACCAAATCGCCGTTCTTGCAAATAGACCTCAAAGTGTTGGCAACAAACCCCAGTTTTTGCGGCGAAATGTTGATTTCCACGACGGCACGAGCGGCTCTTCCCGAAAAAAAAGGCAAGAGTTTGTGCTGAAAAGGATTTTCCCTAGGGATCCAAGTACCTCCTCAGAAGGTACTTGGACCCATGGTATGGACCCGGATGTTTTTTCATTTCCGTCGATTCGTTCCTTACTCCTTTCTCCTTCCTCGCTTTCATCCCCCGCCTGTCCCAGGAGCAGGGCAGTTGTCCGGAGGTCGCCCGTGTTGGGCATGCCAGCCACCAAGGCGATGGCCTTCGGCGAGGTGGGGCGGAGGGATCAACCCAGAGGCACGGGGGGGGTGCAGAAATCGACTGGAAAGCAGAACTAACTGCAGCATACTGCAGCCAAAGCACTGGTAAAGACCGGAACTGAGTTGTTTGCTTCGCAGCTGGAGCGCTTGCGCATCGGTTGCCACGAGGTCTTCTATGGACCCAATTAGCGCAATTAGAGGTCCCCCTAGGTGTGGCGTTTTTGAGATTGTTGGATGTTGGATGTCCACGGGCACCCATCTGCCAGACAAACATAAGCATGGCCACACATCTGGAAGACTTGCGGGAAATCTCTTCGAGCAATCCTTCCCAGAAATGACCTGAACTTAACCCTTTGGACTCATATTCCCATATATTACCCCAACTGGGAGTTCCAAATCCACCACTACCAGGCCAAATGAGTCATGAGGCTCTGCAGGAGACTATGTCCCGGCGCTGAGTCCAGCAGCCCTTTCGACGATTCACACTCAGCGAAACGTCGATCTGAATTGGTCAAGGACAGTTTCCCCGAACTTGGAACCTGCTCGGAAAGACCCACATGGAACCGATGTACTCCTTTCAAGAACACCAAAAAACGAACAAAAGATCATAAAGGGACTGGAGCGGTCGCCAATACGTACAATATTCCTCTGAAGCACTGGTCTTTAGGTTCCATATAGGTCTTCTCGAGGGGCTCTCTGAAGTGAGTTTCCACCGGCTCCACAGATCATCCTCCAAAGAAGAGACTTCTTCAGTCGAGAGAGGCCAATTCTTGTCGCAAATCCTGAAGGAAACGTTCGTTCACTGCACCTTGAGAATACATGGAAGCTCCAGAACCATACTCCTCGAGCAGTTTATCCACCTCTTGGTACAAGCTCTTGGTCTTGTTTTTGGGCATGCGAAGCTTTTCCCGCAAGTGCAACTCCACCTCCACAAAGTTTTCTTTGATCAGCTGAATCGCATCATCCTCCTTCCTTAGGCAGGTGTGCTTGCTGTTCAGCAAAGGAGAGAATTGGCAATGGATCAAGTCCCAGAAGCGTTCCCCATGAAAGAAAAATCAAAAAACACATACAATAAAAATACAACAACACCTTTGGTCCAAAGGTGTCCCAAGGGGGTCCCACAATGCTTCATGCCGGGGTGACTTTTGACCAAAGAGGCAGCTGCCCCTGCCCCAGCACATCTCCCCTATAGGGCTCCAACCAGATTCGTTTGGAAGGTGGGACTGGGGGGGCCCGGGGGGTCAGTCTAAGCACCTTCTTTTCGGATGTGAGACAGTGAGCCAAACAAATCAAAGAGATTCCAAGAGTCTGATTATTATCGGTCTCCTTTGCCAGCAGCACATTAACGGCCCCACGGATCTGATCGAGCTTGTGATTCCTGGCAAAGATCTCCGCGAACTGCTTGAGGTCTCGGGTTTCCTGCCACGGACCAGAAAAATACCTTGGAATCAGACTTCTGGACCAATTGAAGACTCAAAAGGAATGCCTCCGACCAACCAAGGTCAAGTGTTTGAGGTCCACAAGAATCAATCTCCTCGACATCCTTAGACCTAGCTTCGAGATTGTTCTGAAGTTCTTGTAATGCCACTCTCGACCAACCAACCCACGCCTGGCGAGCTTTGGCAAGCTTGTAGCTCAGCATGAAGCCTTGCCCTGTGGGAATCAGAAAGCCCTTTAAGAAGCTAAGGCCTGCTGATAGCGCAGCAAAACCAAAGGGTCGATGTACCTTGTGCATATGAGTCCTTAGATGGGAAGCGAGCTCGACTGCATGTCTCTTCATGCGTCGATCTCATGACTGGACGCTGGGGCACGTCTCACGAACTACCACTCATTGTCATTTGTGGACTTGGATGTGTTTTACAATAGGGCGACCCCAATCAATGGGTTTTTGGTCAATTTCCCTTCTTCCAAGGGGGTCAAACTGGGAGGTCTCTCTATTTTAACACACATCCATTTGAAAACGTTCCATCTCGACGATGGGACTTTTATTTGTGTGCCTAGCAATCCGAAATGTCCACTGACCAAGCACAGGATGGACCAAAACAATCCAAGCCGACTCCTTGCCCTGGAAAAGACGATGTGACGATGGATCAAAACGACCCGAAACGGTTCACACAGTAAACAGGCCTTGAGTACTATAATCTACCAAATTCAATATTCCAAAATATTCACCTGTACTTATCTGAAAAGAAGCTGGAGACTGAACTTGTTTGGCTTCTTTCAGCTTCACAGGTGGCGAAACCTGGGACCGATTTCAGGTCCAGCTTTGGAGAACCAGAACCACTGCCAACTGCGAAGAAGAAGAACTTGGTAGCTTCAATATATATATATATATATGTTGTCTTCATCAAAACAAGCAGAATGTGACCCCAACATCCGCTTTCAACCCAAAATTTAAGCATCACCAAGTCTCATCACGAAGGACAAGCCAATGAAGCCTTGTGGCATATCCTGAGGTTTTGCCGGGTTCGACATGGCTAACAACATCTGTTGCATGGCCACCAAATCAAGGCCATGAGGGACTATTATGGCCAATATCAAATGGCCGGTCTGAGTCCCTCATAATGAGGGACTGTCCCTAACTAAGTCCCTCAACTAAGAATTTGTTGTCCCTAACTTGTTTTATGAGGGACTTCTTCAGAAAACCAAGGCCGGTCGCCGCAGCCGGCCTCAAGGGCCTCAAGTTTGAAGGGCCAAAGCTTGTGAACATTGGACTTCTTCTCAGCTCTTCCAGTAATTAGGGAGAATGCACCAATTCAGTTGTTTGGTCACCTTCAGCAAACTTGCAATGAAGAATTAACAAGAAAGGCCCCAAAAAACAGATCCAAACACCCAGCAAATGCCATGGGAGGCGGCAGATCTTTCCAACCCGCGGATTCGCAGGGGACCCCCTCAGGTGGACCTCCCTCTCCGTTTGAGCCTCGTGTCTTCGGCCCAAGCAATCAAACGCCTCGAGCTGCTGACAAAGTCCACGGCCATGTCAGTCACATGGTCCTCCAAACGTCCCCAGCAGGACTCGCTCCGCGCCCACGGTGCGTGAGGCGGTAGTGACCTCGGGGTCCAGCACTTCCAAGCTGCGAACCGCCAAAAGAAAAAGCTTCTTTTTGGGTTGTTTCACTCAAGAGAGTGAAGAGCCATCAACCCACACTTCTAAAGCACGCCGCCTGCTTTTCGAACAACTCTAACTCTAACACGAAACCCAAGGGCCAGGAGTTCCAAACGGGTGGTCTTTAGACCCCAAGTGAGTAGAGAATGGGCGTCCCTACCCGGCACTACCCCTTTGGAACTCCTTGGGGGAGGTGCTCACGTCCGAAACCAAAGACACGCTTCAACTGCCAAAACCTGGTGAACGGAATTCTTTGTATCCCATTTGGGCTCCTGGCCTACCTCCGACTCAAAGGTGGGACTGGAGGTGGGTGACTTGGGGGTTCGGTCCTTCCAGATGTATTTGGGGCCCTAGGGTATTCTGGTTCAAGCCTACTTAGGTTCTTTGCAGTTCCTGGTTGGCCAACCTTTGATTAAGAACAAGTCATGGTCATGTGGCCCGGATGCTTCTCACCTTCAGCTTCACGAGACAAGCTTGACTGTTTGCGGTCATCAGCTTCTCACATGAAGTCCGATTGTGCATGCAATGAGAATGAACTAGATTGCGCTGAACAAATCTGCAAACACGACATGACATCCAGAGTAAATGAGCTAACATTTGATTCGTGATCCGTCAAGTCCGAACGAATCCCAACACATCCCAAAACCATTGCCTGAACTTCAATGAATGCTTCGCAGTGAAATCCTTTTCAAAAAACAAGGTCTACACTCCCTGGAATCATTGGAAGTGGAAAACAACCAGTTTATCCGTTAGACCCAAGGAACCAGTTTTCCACTTCCACTTCTATGGATGTAATCCCGGATCCCCCCAAAGGAACGGAAAGCCCTTCAGTTCCTAATGAATCAGAATATACATCCCTTAAACCATCTTAAACCCGATCGCTGGAATGTTTTTTGTTTTTTTTTGGAGATTGTTTAAGTATCACGTAGGTTTTTGGTCATAATCTGGATTTCAACAAATGGTTTGATGTGATTTCCCTTCATTTTTTGTTGTTTTTCCATCGATCTGTTGTTTTTTGTGAGTTTCTCTCGCGGTGCCCCTTCTCCCACTCCCCGAAAGAATGCTGCAGACTTCTCCGAGCGGCAAGATGCTCCGATAGGCCGAGCGCAGGTCGGCGGCAGTTTCGGGATCGGAGGTCACTAGGTGATAAGATATCACGATCACATAGGCGGAGCAAACGAAGAGACACCCGCTATCGCAAAGCCTGAGATGAGATGTGATGTGGCAAGCTAGCCAGGAAATGTCAAGATTGAGGCTCAGAAAGAGCTGAACAATGCGGACAGTGGTTACCTGAATCGTTGCCAACAAGGCTGATCTTTCACTTGTGGAATGCCCTCAAAGCAAATTCACCAGCTTTGCCGGCCCCTGGCAGTTCTATCAGATTCCTGACACAAAGTGAAAAACAAAAATACGTGGGTTTCCTACCAGCACCCTCACTGCCAGGTCTCCTCATCCGGGGGTTGGGAAGGGCCCAAACAATTGGGGACCTCGCAAAGCCAGTGGCAGCTTTTGGAGTTGTTGCAATTGCTGTCCAAGGGCGGCCCAACCCTTTCCCGCGCCGAGAAAACAATCTGCCGAGAAAGGCTTGGATTCCAGGTCACAGGTCTTGGAGCTGCAAAGGACACACCAGGGAATTGAAGAACTCAAAAAACCAGATGGAGCCTTGGCTCGGCTCTGCCTTCGCCGGACCCAACCTGGGGCCTTTTGCGGGAGAAGGCTTTTAAGCAAATGTAATGTTTGAATAGTTCTCTTCAAATAAAGATGTCAATGTAGTACGTCGTATAGGTAAAATACAGTACATATAAGTAACAGAAAGTATTTACCATTTATGTGTTTGTCTTATCAGAAACTACATCAATGGCCGTTTCGAACAGCACCGCTTCTATCCCAAAAAATGGTTCCTCGGCAATCCTTCCAAAATAAGCATAAACTTGCATAAACATACAAAATAATATCAAAACCCTATAGCGATTGCTATCCGGGGAAAGACTGAATAGTTGAAACGAGCGGTAGAAATGGGCCCTGAGTCTCCAAGTCGAAGAGGAGATACTGGGACCTTGAGAGTGAGTCCTTGAGATACCAGGATGAAGTGACTTAGGCCTGTAAAAGGTGACTTAGAGACTCCCAAAAGGTCACTCTGAAGCTTTTGGTATTAGGAGCTTGATAGGGGGTTGTTCTTTTGGAAACCTGCGGATCTTTTAGATTCAGACTGTGCCATGAACCTCAACTTTGCCATGTTGGCTCTCCAAGTTTAGATGTTGCTGGCTTCAATATTTGTTTGAAGTGAAGGATGTTTCCAAGGAACCATCAAAACAGCTATAACAATAATTCCGATATACAAACAGGTGATGAGCATTGAGTCTTTATCACATAGCCGCAGCTTTCCAAATCCACAACAGCAATGAACCAAAGAATGTTCACAAACATATGTTCACCTACCACGGGTTTATATGCAGGCATCATGGGTTTTGACATGTTTTGACTCATACTTATATCCATAAGGTCTTGATGTCCAGGGGTACTCTGCTCATCTTTCTTTGGCAGGGGTCAGAAATTATTGACCCTCCAACATCCATTCCGGGCCGGAATCAAGTAATCAAGTCAGGTGTTCTTTAGCATTACAAACAAAAACTTGCAAAGGTCACGCTCCACAGGGCAGAAGTAGGGAAAGGTCAGCTGCAAGTAGGGCCAAGGACATCCGGTCGAGAAGTAGCATTGACAATCCTGTCCACATCGCCAAAAGAGGAACAAGACCACTTGACCGCAGCAAAGCGCAAAGAGGCCTCCAGGACCATTGTCGAAGATCTGTTCTGAGAGCCAATTGTTCAGCAACCCGAAGGCTGGAACCATCAGTGGTGGATGAATCGTCAACTTGTCAGTGATCCGGAAGGGGAAAATGGCCATGACCCAGTCGTGGAACAGGATCCGATTCAGCAAGTCTGCTGAGGTGATCACAAGCCTGGCCAAATGGTAAACACCGTGGAGTGCGTGCAAACCTTGGGAATATGAAAAACACATGGGTGCGTAGCTCAAATAGGGAGACCTCCCAAAGAAACCCTGGTTGGGAAAAGCAAACAAAACCCCCTTTCTGGGTTGAGTGTCTCCCTATTTAAGTACACACCCACATGTGCAAATTTACAAGCACGGTCCCAAGACAAAGCGAGTTCTGGCAACTTACAAGCTAACTTCTCTGCTTGTTGAGAGGGAAATCGGAAAAACTCAAAAGGAAGGAAAGGTTCAACAAAGCAGCTCAGCCACCCCAAGTAAAACCCCTTCATCATAGGGGCAGCCTGTAAGCAAATGCCAGTCATGATCCAATCCTAAGTTCTCTGCAAAAAAAAAACAAAACGTCGACCCATCAGGTGAAGCGAGGTGGAATGTTGTTTTGTACCGCATGTTCTCCTGTTGTTTTTTGTTAATCTCTCTTGCTCTCTCCACCTGCTCTCCTGGATGAGTTCTTCTCCAGCTCTCCTGGATTAGTTCTTCTTGGGTCTCGTTCCACCTGCATTCTCCGCTTCGGCCCCTTTTCGACCGAACATGGCCTCGGGTATGGACATGAGAACGCAACCCCCAGCACAAGCCCGAAGGACGCTTTTGAGGTCTTGACGGAGGGGAAAACGGATGGGAAAACAAACAAAGAATGCTTTCATGTCTGCACCAAGGATCTTTCATTGAATCACAAAGTTCACTAAACATGGGTGCCGTGTAGAGCATCACCTCAAAGGCCACTTAAAGACTCTTTTACGCCGACTCCGACGTGTTTGTTCTGAGAATACCAACAGCTACAGCCGAGGACTTGACAGATTCTTTATCATGCTGATCATGCTGTCTCTCTGAAACAAACAACACACCCTTCAATAAACGTATGTCATACATGTTCATATATATATATAACATAGAACATATGTCGCAACATATAACATATAACTTACAACTCTCAACAAACTCTGGAGTAGTGAATATCTTATTAGGCTCCCTTTGGTTCCCTGGATTCTGCTAGCGTTTTAATGTGTGTTTTCGTTTCCGCCCAATTGGAGGTGTTTGTTTTCGGTGTTGGTTCGTGATGGTTGGTGTATGTTCGTGTCCAGTTTTAGCATCAAAAAGAGAGACATCAGGCCCAGTCCACTGCGCAAGGATCGACCTACATCGAGTTCTTGGTGGAGTCTCCATCACCATCCGCTCCGCTCCACCGGTCCGCCTCCCGGGCAGACCTCCCGATCCGACGTCTCGGCGCCTTGGAGAAGGTGGGTTGCTTCAGTGCTTCAGCATCACAGCGGCAACATCGCAACAAGTTCTGCACGAAGAGGCTCCACAGGCAACTCCTCAGGCTAAGCTGCGGACAAAGCTTCGGGCCAAGGAGGGCAGTGAGGCTTCCGGTGGAGACCCGGTGGGGTGTGTGCCCATGTGTGTGGAAGTGAAAGATGTTCTTTTTGGCTTTTGAAAAGCAACTTTCTCAAACTTGTCTGGCCTTCTCAGAAAACCACCGACAGGCGGTAAGCGCAAAGTGCTCCACCTTCGCTTTCCGGGTCAGGGATGGAAAAAGAACCGTTGAAACCCAATAAGCGTCTTGACTCATTCGTCGGACTGATTTTGACTCCATTGATCTGTCGACCAACCGTCATGACCATCTGACGCGCCAGTTCCTAATCCGACTCTGCGGGCTCTCCAACGAATTGAACCTATAGCCGCCCAGTACACTCCATGGGACTGGAATTGTTGTGCCTACTGTACATTGGACCCCCCTGGCACCACTCCAATTGATCGGCATGTATATATTCTATATATTCTATACATGGAGCGTCTGGGTAGGAGGCTAGAACCGGTGACCTGGCACGGTCGACCGACCGGTGCACGGTGGGGCACGGGACCTGAAGCTGTAGCTGGTGCTGGAGCTGGGCCTAGGGGGCTTTAGTTTATTGGGAACGACCCATTCCCATCTCAGTTGCTGTGACTCAGCAGAAGCCTTTCCAAAACACGGAGCTTTCGGCCACAGAACGCGACTTCGCCCGACTTCGACCGCAGCGAACAACAACGCCCCAAGGCTCTGTTGCCAAAGGGCCCAAAGTTCCCAAGCAAAAGATCCACCGCCCTCCATCAAGAGCCATCCACTGCGCAAAGCAATGGCCACCAAGGAGACACAAAAGAAGTGGTAAATAATCAACGCCTTACACTGTTGGAAGAAATCCGAGAATATGAAGGATGTTTGTTCATGATTGTTCATGAAAACTTTCAGTTGAGTTGTCCTGTAAACTGATCTGCTGGGAGAGGATGACCGGTAGGGTGGTCTGAGGGGATCAAATATTTTGTTACAGTTACATATTCACCAAATAATCAGTCAATAGACGTCAAAAACATCCGTGTCAGCCCAGCCCTTGGGCCCAGCCCAGCTCTTGGGCCCAGCCCAGCCCTTGGGCCCTTCTGCCACTCTCAATGGGGGCCGATGATGACTTCAAGAGTGCCGCTGAGACGCCAGGGAAAAGCAGTGTGGCATCCAGGGGCATCGACTGTGTCTAGACCTGCTCTTTTCTTCAGAGTCGTCGGACCCAGTGTGGAGGTCGTCGGACAACCTCAGTTGCCTTGAATTGGATTTCTCCCACTTCTCCACGTCCTCCTCGCTGGCACCAGGATCACCTCGGAGGGCACATGTTCTTCAAAGTGAACAAGCTTCTAGGAGTGGTAACAGGCTTCTAGGAGTGGTAATATGTTCTTCGAACTTGGGGTCCATGTTTTTGGGAAAAGATGTTTCAGCAGCTTCTCAGACTTGGAAAAACATCGGTTCTCCGATGGGGGACAGGTCCGATTTTAATCGCTCACACGAGAGATGGAAAGTGATTCCGAGTCGCATGGATGCAAAGCCATGTATTTTCCCCGGTCTGGAGGCCTGTTGGCCTTGACTTTCTGAGCCACCAGGCGAAAGAACTCACAGACGAGGCCCATGAGAGGTGGAGCACAAAGTAGGAACGGCAGCCAATAATGAAGCCGACGTCTCCCTTCTTCATCCTGTAAACCAGACAAACTGGGCAGCAATCGAGGTGCTCTTACCAAGAATGGTGGCCTCTCAGAGATATGGCATGTCTTGAGCCAAACAAGGCAGTAAAGCCAGTGCAACCAGCCCAGGAGGTTAGGAACTGCTGGAAAGCGATCTGCTGGTAGCACTTCTGGTAAGCTGGAACTGAAATCCAAAGAGCTTGGTAGCCAATCATTAACTTCGACCGTCCCATTCGGCCAGTCGAAAGGCATAGCCCAGCAGCAGGCTATCTTTGAGCCCGCAGCTGCATGGTGCGAAGACATCGGCGCAGTTCAGCTGAAACGCATGCTGGTGGATTTACAACCCCGTATACTTTACTTTAGGAGAGCACCAAGGATCCCCGCCATCGATTACATTGATCATTACTCGTTCTTCTTGCATTAGGCAGTTGAGATCCCTACCACTGTCAGTAGTCCTCCCCACAGCAACAAAAAGGATCAAGTATACATAAGTGTAATTTTCCAGGGTCTTCATCCCTTCTGCAAACCAAATCAGAGGTTTCTTCCTTCTATTTTGAGTCTTGAGCTCCATGAGAGTCAGCCACCTAACGCCCTCAAGGCCACGCACACCACCTGTGAGCGAACCTTTGCCCTTGGCTGCCCTCTGGTCACTTTAATATCATGGTATAGTGACTATAGTGATCTCAAACAATGACCTATCACGCGGTGTCCGATGCAAGACCTCAGGTTGGTGGTTTAGACCCTCGCCCTTCATCACGGGCCAAGTCCGAAGCGGCTTCCCAT